AGTTTGAGATCAGCCTGGCCAACATGGAGAAATCCCGTCTCAACTAAAAATACAAAAATTAGCTGGGCGTGGTGGCAGACACCTGTAATCCCAGCTACTCGGGAGGCTGAGGTAGGAGAATTGATTGAACCTGGGAGGTGGAGGTTGCAGTAAGCCGAGATTGCATCATTGCACTCCAGTCTGGGAGACAGACTGGAGTGTCTAAAAACAAAAAAAGAAAAGAAAAGAAAAAAGATGTTTAGAAGCTCTGAGCTTGTGGGTGAAGGCTGTCAACTTTTACTTTACTACAGAGTAATTTGACCAGACTGCTCAGATGGGAAAGCTCCATAATCAGTATCTTTAAGTCTTTCCTTGTGGGCTGGTTAGAGTTCCCGGAGAAAGAGCCCCCTGCTTTCTGCCTAGAGGGTGAAACTCTGGCTGTCAACCTCTGGAGGTCCAGCGGATAAGAGAGCTGGGGTTCTGAGTACCCAGCATGCATACATTCTCATATTGTCCCTGTTTGCAGAATGGCTCCACTGCCTTCAACTGTGTGTGGTGTCCCCAAGGGCAGGGATGCTCCATTTTTCCCCTTCCAGAAAATAAAACTCCAGGCCGGGCATGGTAGCTTATGCCTGCAATCCCAGCACTTTGGGAGGCCAAGGCGGGGGGACTACTTGAACCTGGGAATTCGAGACCAACCTGGGCAACACAGGGAGACCTTGTCTCTGTGAAAAATTTAAAAATTAGCTGGGCATAATGGTGTGTGTCTGTAGTCCCAGCTTCTTGGGAGGCTAAGAGGATCACTTGAGCCCAGGAGGTCAAGGATGCAGTGATTGAGCCACTGCAGTCCAGCCTAGGTGACAGAGTGAGACCCTGTCCTAAAACAACAACAACCACAACAACAAAAGAAACAAAGAAACTAGAGAGAGAGGAAGAGGGAGGAAGGGAGGGAGGGAGGGAAAAATGAAGGAAGGAAGGAAGGAAGGAAGGAAGGAAGGAAGGAAGGAAGGAAGAAAGGAAGGAAGGAAGGAAGGAACCAGTCTTTTCTTGGATGAAGAAAGACAATCACGCAGATACTTGAAGCTGGGGAGCAGATTTGGAGCCAGCTTATCCCTGGAGAATGCTGACCGGTTGCCTGCATAGAATCTAAAAAGGTAGGACCAGGCCTCCAGGTAAGGATGGCAGGCTGAACACAGACATCAGTTTTCACTCCCTTCTGAGACACAACTTCTCAAAAAATTTTAGCCAATCCTTTCAATTTTAGCATCCTCCTTCTACCTACTTCCAGAGGTACTTGATGCTCCTAATGCTTGAGCCTTTGGGTAATTCTGCTGCAAAAATTACACTGGCTCTCATTTGACCCCATGACTGACTGACTCAGTTCTTCAAGATCATTTATCATTCTTTCATCTGTTTTTCTGTGTCTAATACTTTATTTTTGTCTCTTCCTCCAATGTCCTCATTCTTACATGCCTACTTAAAAAAAAAAAAAAAAAAAACCCTTCATTGTAGTTTCAATTAAGTTTAGGAGGAAGTGAAAATAGATGCCTGTGTTCAACCTGCCATCTCACCTGGAGACCTGGTACTGCTACTTTTCTGTATAGCAATGGGTATAGGCAATGGTCAGCATTTCCAGTGACAACCCCCCGCCTTCTTTATACTGCATTGTTGCCTATATAATTCATTCCTGGTTAAACACGCCATACTCAAGTGCCCTTTCCTTCTATGGATGTGCTGTAGGAGAGAACATATTCCTTCCTGCACTGTGGTTTTTTATAGTATTTAATTACCAGAGCGCTCCTTTTAACAGAATAGTCACAAAGGCCCAGAATTCCAGTTTAGGTATGATGAAGAAAGTCGATTCACTTCTACGGCCCTGACACAGATATCTTTCCTGTGTCTCACATTAACATGTCCATGTATTATTTGGGCCGGGTGCGGTGGCTCACGCCTGTAATCCCAGTACTTTGGGAGGCCAAGGTGGGTGGATTGCTTGAGCTCAGGAGTTTGAGATTATCCTGAGAAACATGGTGAAACCTCGTATCTACAAAAAAATGCAAAAATTAGCTGGCTGTGATGGCTCACGCCTGTAGTCCCAGCTACTTGGGAGGCTGAGGTAGGAGGATCACTTGAGCCTGGAAGGTCGAGGCTGCAGTAAGCAGTGATCACACCACTGCACTCAAGCCTGGGCAACAGAGTGAGTCCCTGTCTCAAAGAAATAAGGAAAAAGAATAAGAATTTCCATGTATTATTTCTATTCTGTTAATGTGCAACAGTTTGAAAAGATCTTCTGAAAATATGAGGACTATTCTTGGGAGAGAGGAAAAGCTTCAGGCTATTAGAGACTTTAAAACAAAAACATTGATTACTTTTGAACACATAAGAAAATTGATCTTCCCTTTGAGAAATATCAAACTAGCCATCTGTTTTAGCTAAAACATGCCTTAATCTATGGCTAATAATAGCAAATGCATATCTCCAGGAGGAATTAACTGGGACATCCGGGTGATGAAACCGATTTCATTTAGAACTAGCTGGGGATTTAATCGGCCCATTATTGGGGGTCATGTTTAGCTTCACAAATTTCAACATAATAGAGCAAACTAGATTTCAGTTACTAGAGCTTATTTTGGACAGTAATTGATATGATGAGAAACAATATATACTAGTAAAACAAGCCCAGGCTTGGAGTTAGGTAGCCCAGAATTTGAATCCTGGCTCCACACCTCCGAGTTGTGGGACCTTGAGAAAGTTACTTAACCTGACCCTGAGTTTCCTTTACTGAAAATATACTGGGTGAGATGGGTGGCTCATGCCTGTAATCCCACACTTTAGGAGACTGAGGCGGAAGGATTGCTTGAGCCAGGAGTTTGAGACCAGCCTGGGCAACATAGTGAGAACTCCATCTCTACAAAACAAGAACAAAAAATTCTTGTAAAAGTTTGCCAGGTGTGGTGGTGTGCACCTGTAGTCCCAGCTACTTGGAAGGCTGATCATCCTCCTGCAAGCCTGGGGGGATTGCTTGAGCTCAGGAGATTGAGCGTGCAGTGAGCTATGATAGTGCCACTGTATTCCAGCCCTGGTGACAGAGACAGACCCTGTCTCAAAAAAAGAAAAAAGAAAAAAGAAGACAAAAAGACAATATACTCAGCCGGGTGTAGTGGCTCAGGCCTATAGTCCCAGCACTTTGGGAGGCGGAGGTAGGAGGATCGTTTGAACCCAGGAATTCAAGACCAGCCTGGGCAACATAACAATACCCGATCTCTATCTTTTTTTAAAAAAAAAAGAAAAAAGAAAAAAGGAAGAAAATCTGCTCAAACAGTATCTCATAGTGTTGTATGGATTAAATTAAATAATGTTTGTGTATTAAGCAGTAGGGCTCAAACAAATAAACAAAAATAACATTTGTATGTAGGATCTGCTTAGTATCTAGAATGCTATAGATACGGAGATCCTCATTATCATCATCATCATCACATACATTTCCTTGGCTTTTTTCTTGTTTGGCTACACAAAGAAGACAGGAAAGGAGAGGCAGAGTTTGTTTTTGATGAAAGCTGCTGTAACGGAAGGCAGGAATGACATGGTGACTCCTGCCTAAGACACAGGAATAATGACCATTTGGCTTCCTCTATAACTTCTGTCACAACCACACCAGTTAAAAAATGTTATGCTTCACTGAGAGATGCCAATCAGAGATAGAGATGATGCCGATGGCCCATTGTTAGTGGGTATTCTTTTATTTATACATCCGGGGGGATGATCTTATGGGTGGGCAACTGTAAGATCTACCCACATGCCCTCACCCAGACCACCTGGAGGCTAAAGCATGTACAGGGATGAACCCCTTTTGTTTCTTTCCCATCAACTATTTTGTGGGCCAGGTGATAGAGTTTTAATTTTTCTGTTAAAAGTCATATTTGTATCCATTTTATTTTTGAGGACACACTAAATGTTCTCTAACCAAAATACTGCAAGTGAGAAAGAGAGAGAAAGGTATGGATGTGTATATGTGTGGCAGGGGGAGGATTGGGATTAGAAATCCTCATAAAATTATTAATGTGCTTGGTACACGGGCAATATAGAGATCTATACCCAACAATTAGTGATTATACAGTCTTCCCAGGAACATATGGAAGTTTTTACAAAAATTAATCATGTGCCACTCATAAAGCAAGTCCAAACAAAAACCAAGGAATCAGTACCATATAGATTTTCTGACCACAACGCAAATTAAGTCAGAAATCAGTAATAAAAAGATACTTTTAAAAACTCATACATTTAAAAATCTCATATATATAAAAACATGTTTCCATTATAACGAGATCAAATAAAAATTCATGGTTGGAGAAAACTACATATAACTAATAAGGAAAATACTGCATATCAAAACTCAGACCTATAGCTAAAATTGTAGTTTGAAGAAAATTTTGGGCCTTAAATTTTCATATTAGAAAAGAAGAAAGGCTGAGAATTGATGAATGAAGCATCCAACTTAATTAGAAAAATAACAGTACAAATGGCTGGGTGGGTGGCTCATGTCTGTAATCCCAGCATTTTGGGAGGCCGAGGCTGGAGGATCACCTGAGGTCAGGAATTCGAGACCAGCCATGACCAGCATGGAGAAACCCCGTCTCTACTAAAAACACAAAATTAGCTGGGCGTGGTGGCACATGCCCGTAATCCCAGCTACTCGGGAGGCTGAGGCAGGAGAATCGCTTGAACCTGGGAGGTGGAGGTTGCGGTGGAGCTGAGATTGCACCATTGCACTCCAGCCTGGGCAACAAGAGTGAAACTCCATCTCAAAAAAAAAAAAAAAAAAAAGAAAAAAAAGAAAAAAGGAAAGGAAAGAAAAGAAAAGAAAAAGAACAGTAGGATATATAAATATTTTAGTTGTTTTCTTGCTATGGAAAGAATTGCATTTGTAAAAGAAATAAACAATGATAACAACAAAAAGTTATTATTCTGATGTGATGTTGCTAGGTGTTCATGAACGAAGGAATAGAAAACTGTGTCATTACCTTCCAATTTCATTCAACTCAGTGTAAGCTGAGTCAAAATTTTCCTTCCAAGAAATGGTGGCACCATCAGCAGCAGCATCTTCGGAAGAGAGAGAATCCATTTACAATATCGAGGATGTCATATAAGAATAAAGAAAAAATTAACAGAAAAGCTCCAGAGCAACCCCAAAGCAATTCTCATGACCAAATACGGTGTCTGACTTAGTGGGAAAATGCCATGATTCTCTGGAATGTTATTTTAAAAAATCTTCCAAGGGGAAACTGACATGACAGAGTTGGCTTCTCTCTCCCGTCTACTTAAACAAAGGGAAAACTCAGGACAATCAGAAATATGACTTCTGGATATTTTAAAAGATAAATTTGGGAGAAAAATTTAAAAGGGATAAAAGAACACTTTGAAGGCCTAGAAAAGCTGGTGAAAATCAGGGGTATAAGGAGGATGCAGAGAATGAAGGGAAAAGTTACAAGGTCAAGAAAGGAGAAAAGGAAAATACATTTTAGAAATTTCTCTTTCTAGCCTGAGCCACATAGCAAGACCCTGTCTCTACAAAAAATTAAAAATCAGCCAGGTGTGATGGTATACACTTGTAGTCCCAGCTTCTCAGGAGGCTGAGGTTGGAGGATCACTTGAGCCCAGGAGGTTGAGGCTGCAGTGAGCTATGATTGCGCCACCGCACTCCAGCCTGGGAGACAGAGCGAGACCCTGTCTCCAAAAAAAAAAAAAAAAGAAAAAATTCTCTTTCTTATCCCACTCTTCTCAGGCATTAATGAACTTATCTGGTATACTGAAGGATTTAACTTAACCCACAATATATGCTTGAGTAGATTCTTTGGCAGTATTACCTTGTGTGATGTGTCAATTCCTTGGCAATGATTCATGCACGCGTGCATACACACACACACACACACACACACACACACACAGCATGCACAGCAATACGCATTTGTGTCGTCTGTTGGGGACCAAGGTTCACAAATAGCAAAACACAGCATCATCTGGGGCTGGAGCAAGTGAGCGGCCTGGGAGGATAGGGGTCACATGAGCAGCCTGGCTCGGCTGACCCTGGAGCCAGTTCCCTCAGGTTTCCCAGAGCACAGCCTGGCTGAGACTGAAGGCAGCTTACCCATCTTGAATTCTGAGGAAACGGAGACCCAGGGCCTAGGTTTCTGCATGAGTCACAGGCTCATGGGAACAAAGCCAAAGTCACTGGGAGAAAACTGGACTGACAGTGGGGCTGGAACTGGAGAGCATTTCTGGATTCAGGTCGGGGCAGAGGTGACTTAGAGGGTTTCCCAGACCCCTCTGTAGACTCCAGAATTCTCTTAACCCCAAAGCACACAGGTCCATTGTCTTTCGAGTACAGTCAGCCGCCCCCCACCCACTGCTCTCCCCAGTACACACAGACCACTCCTTTGCACTGCCTGAAGTCTCACCATTTGGAGATTTCTTTCTTTCTTTCTTTCTGTTTGTTTTTGTTTTGTTTTGTTTTTTTGAGACGGAGTCTCGCTCTGTTGCCCAGACTGGAGTGCAGCGGCGTGATCTCGGCTCACTGCAAGCTCCGCCTCCCGGGTTCACGCCATTCTCCTGCCTCAGCCTCCCGAGTAGCTGGGACTACAGGCGCCTGCCACCACGCCCGGCTTGTTTTTGTTTTTTGTTTTTTGTTTTCATAGTTTTAGTAGAGATGGGGTTTCACTGTGTTAGCTAGGATGGTCTCGATCTCCTGACCTCATGATCCACCCACCTCAGCCTCCCAAAGTGCTGGGATTACAGGCGTGAGCCACTGCACCTGGCACTAAATTAATATTTATAAAGTACCTTTGATTTATAATATATGATGACTATGACTTATATACCATCTATATGCTTTCTTTTTCTTTCCTTTTCTTTTTCTTTTTTTTTTTTGATACAGAGTCTCCCTCTGTCGTGCAGGCTGGAGTGCAGTGGTGCGATCTCGGCTCACTGCAAGTTCTGCCTTCTGGTTTCACACCATTCTCCCACCTCAGCCTCCCAAGCACTGGGACTACAGGCGCCTGCCACCACACCTGACTAATTTTGTTTTTGTATTTTTAGTAGAGACAGAGTTTCACCATGTTAGCCAGGATGGTCTCTATCTCCTGACCTCGTGATCCACCCGCCTCGGCCTCCCAAAGTGCTGGGATTACAGGCATGAGCCACCGCGCCTGGCCTGGAGATTTCTTTAGGATAACCAAGTTTTCTCTTCCAAAATGTCCCTGGGACGAAGATGATTTGGGCAAAATAAGAACCTTACTTGTAAAATACTCGTATTTAGCTAGCTGTATGTGTATCTTAGTTAATTTTTTAACAAATCTACATAAAATTATATCCATGTTGAAAAAAAATTCTATGATGATTGGGGGTGAGGAAACTATGAAATCCTCATGTTGTAGTGAAGCCCTTCAGCCAGGTGGCTTTTCTCTCCCCCATTTGAAGTGGGTGAGTCCCTCATGCAGGGAGGTACGTTTACGGCTGGCAGGGGTGCCCGGGTGGGAGGAGGCTTTGTTTCACTGTCTCAGAAGAGGGGCAGAGAACATCCATAGGACTCGTGACTCCTGCCTGTAACTCTCCTTTCCTGGGGCATACTCAGTCCCCAGGGAACTTGGCAGATGCAGGGGTAGGCATCGGTGCAGACCTAACATTTGCCCAAGATGCTTGGAGCTAGACTTTACAGAGACATTCTTCTCAGGCCTCTAAAATGTTGCCTGACTGGAGCCACCAGGTGCCTCTTGCATGGTGGCCTGACATGTCAACGTGCCCATGAGTCTGTGACAGGCAGCCAGGTGTCTCGCCCCCACTGCCTGAGGGGCCAGGGCTGGGCTGGGACTCACCATATTCTGGAAGTCGCACAAACTCCGAGGGCTCGCTGGGAAGGCTGATTCCCCAGGGGTTACTGGCACTGACTCTGAACTGATAAGGACACCCGGGACTAAGGTCTTCGATGACGAGGTAAGTGTCCAAGGTCGAAGCCACCGACTGCTGCCAGATCTGAGAACCTAGTGTACGGTTTCCCAGGAGAGGGAAAGAGAAAAGCCAAAGGGATATTGTTTCAAAGACCTTCAGCGAACAAAGAAAGGAAAACAGACACATTCAATTCAAGGGATGCTTGTGGTTACTGTGTCAGGCTCTCCAAGCCTGTAGGCCAACTATGGTAGTTTGGGTTCAATTTCCTACATGACAGAATAAATGGTGAGAGGCACGGAAGAAGCTGGCCTACAGATTCTGTTTACTTTCAAATGTGCAAGTGCCAGAGTGAAAAGACATAGATAATACAGAATTTACAGAGGACACAATGTAAACTTTTAATAAGGCCAGAAGAGTATATTTTTAATTAATAACATGAGAGAAAATATGCATTTGGAAACTGAAACAAAATGGAAATTAACATGCATTGAACACTACGTACATGTAAAATCCTGTGGAAGGTGTCTTCAACATAATTCTCTCATAGTTAAATGAGATTTAAGACAGAAAGTTAATTCTGTCTTAAATCCACAGAAATCCAGTGAGGTAAAGGACTAATCTTACTTTACAGATGTAGAAACTGAGCCTCAGAAATATTAAACAATTTGCCCAAGAGAACTTACTTAGTGAGCTGAACTATGAACTGGATAATGCTAAGGTAAATATGAACTTTGTAAAATGTGTCTCCCAGCTCACTATTAATAGTTTTGTGCTAACCTGGGAGACACAAGAGTGAACAGCTTAAGAAGGATGCAGAAATAAATGGGTTGATAACTGTTTAATAAAAAAGGAGGAGAAAGAAGAGTTAAAATACTAAGCATACTGAAAAGTAGAATAAAACAAATGGTTTCAGGTTGGGGGATAGGGTAGCAAGCACTTGCTTTCCGTTCAATTGTGTAATTCCTAATGTGATTCAGAGTAATCGTGTTATGACTCTGAATAACTGTGGTTGTGTTATTAACAATTAGAGCGATCTGGCAGCTTCTATTTTAACTAATTCTTCTTGCTAACTAGATGGAAGTCTCAGTTGTTTCTAACTGCTGAAGACGTATATTCACTTTTAGCATGTAAATGTAACAAATTTTAACAGTTTCAATTGCACAATTTTAAAAGGCACAATTAAAAAATGTATATTATCTTAATTTTATCTGGGGGTATGTAGGGGTTGTAGAACTCCACCCGTACTACACTAGTTATTTCTCTGGGAGAAAGATCACAAATTAGCCAAGTAGACATCTGAGTTCTAGTGCTAGCTCTGCCTCTCATTAACTATAATCTTGTGTTTCTTAACGTTCTTTAGGCCTTAGCCTCCCCCTCTGTAAAATGGGCTTGATCATCCCTGTCTGGGTGATCGAGCGTGTTAAGTAGGGATATATGTATGAAGGCACCTTGAAACCTGCCCTGGGTCATAAATATGTCAGGGAGGTTTGGACCATCTTAGCCAAAAGAGCTGCTGAACATCTGGGATTAGAAGGCAGCTATAATCTGGCACTGAGGCCTCTGAGCTGAGTTGGAAGACACGACAAGGAACAACTTCTGAAAGATGAGGAGGCTAATATGTTTACAATTCTGAAGGACCTCCTAGAGATGAAGAGAAGACAGGAAAACAAGAGCCGGAGGCCGGGCGCTGTGGCTTATGCCTGTAATCCCAGCACTTCTGGAGGCTGAGGTGAGTGGACTGTTTGTGCTCAGGAGTTTCACAGCAGTCTGGGCAGCATAGTGAGACCCTGTCTCTACTAAAATTATAAAAATTAGCCAGGTGTGGTAGTGTGCGCTTTAGTCCCAGATACTCAGAAGGCTGAGGTGGGAGGTTGGCTTGAGCCCAGGAGGTGGAGGCTGCAGTGAGCCGACTGCACCATGCACTCCAGCCTGGGTTGACGGAGCCAAACTCTGTCTCAAAAAAATAAACAATAAAAATAAAGGAAAAGAAAAGTGGCTCATGCCTGTAATCCCAGCACTTTGGGAGGCCAAGGTGGGAGGATCATGTTAGCCCTGAGGTTTGAGACCAGCCTGGGCAACATAGTAAGACCCTGTCTCTATTCAAACTTTTTAAAAAATGGTTAAGATGGTAAATTTTATTGTGTGTGTGTTTACTACAATTTTAAAAATAAACGTTTTAAAAGAAGAGAAAAGACAAAGGAGAGCAGAAGATAGTGCACCTTCCTCTCTGTACTCCACAGTATAACCGGAAATAGTGCAGTTTCCTGTGCTAGACGGGGGCAGCCAACGGAGAATCACGGAGGTGCAGCTTCTCTCCTGGGCAATGGGGCGGTTAGGGGCTGCTGGAACACCTATGGAGACAGAAATCAGGATCAGGTGCTATTTCTGCAGAACTTGGCATTGTACACCAAGGTATAAAGTCATCTAGGAAACATTACCTAACCCATGTCACAATTTTTTCCTGTGACCTTCTCCACCAAGTGGCATACCTTTCTCCAGGCCCAAGGCAGAGGTAGGAGACACACCGTGCTGTCTGAAGTTCTTCCTTGGGCTAAATACTGCACCCTGAAGATAAAACTTGGCCAGGGAACTAACATGTTGATGGTAGGTTTATGGTAGGCCACAGACAGCTCTTAGAAAGATTTGTTCTCTTCTCATTTGCCAGAACTTTTATTATTTTTGAATTTTTACAATGGACATTTTCTCCCCCGTGTCACAGGGAGCCCTTATAATGTTCACGTAAAATGTAGGACCAGGTGTGCTGGCTGACACCTATAATCCTAGCACTTTGGGATGCCAAGACCGAAGGAACAATTGAGCCCAGGAGTTCAAGACTCCATCTCTACAAAAAGTTTAAAAAATGAGCTGGGTATGGTGGCACATGCCAATAGTCCTAGCTACTTAGGAGGCTGAAGTGGGAGGATAGCTTGAGCTGGAGAGGTTAAGGCTGCAGTGAGTGGTATCATGCTACTGCACTCCAGCCTGGGCGACAGAGCATGGCCCTGTCTCAAGAAAAACAAAATTTGACTAACATAAATTGATAGAGACAGAAAGTAGAGCAGTGGTGGCCAAGAGGCATTGGGGAGGAGGGAATGGGGAGTCATTGCTTAACAGGTACAGATGCAGTTTCAGAAAGATGGGAAGGTGAAAAAGTTCTCTGGATGGATGGTGGTGATGGTAACCCAAAAACAATGTACTTAATGCCACTGAACTGTACACTTATTTATTTATTTTTAAACTGTACATTTTAAGATGGTTAAGATGGGATGGGCACAGTGGCTCATGCCTGTAATCCCAGCACTTTGGGAGGCCAAGGTGGGAGGATCACGTTAGCCTTGGAGTTTGACACCAGCCTGGACAACATAGCGAGACCCTATCTCTATTTGAATTTAAAAAAAAATGGTTAAGATGGTAAATTTTATTGTGTGTGTTTTACTGAAATTTTAAAAATAAATGTTTTAAAAAGTACTATAGAAAACACAGCAGAATCCCATCTCTACAAAAATGCAAAAAAAAAAAAAAAATTAGTCAGGTGTGGTGGTGCATGCCTGTAGTCCCAGCTAATTAGGAGGCTGAGGTGGTCGGATTGCTTGAGCCTGGGAGGTCAAGGCTGCCATGAACAGAGATCATGCCTGGGCAACAGAGCAAGAACCTGTCTAAAAAAAAATTATTTCGAAAGGTCTGACTAACAAAGAGGTTGTACCTTGCACTTTGACTGTCGCGGACGTCGATGTGGTTCCGTGGTCATTTGTTGCTATGCAGGTATAAATCCCGCTGTCTTGGGGCATCAGATTACAGATCTTCAGGGTGATTTCTCCAGAATCACTAGGGACACCAAAAGGATGCTCTTCAGACTCCAGGAATGAGACACTTGACTGCTGGGTCAAATCCCGTAGGGTGGGCACATGGCATGCTGAACTGACAGTCCTCAGGCCCAAGGTCAGCCCCTGGTCAGTGAGCTACCTACATACCTTGGTGATCACCCTGTCTCTCTACATCTCCAGATGGCCATGCCCATCTCTCAAGTTTGTTGTATATGAGGGATAAAATAAGGAATAAAATGACATAAGAATTACAGCATGGTTTGAAATATATAAAGTCATATGCAAGTTCTGGCTCATAGTATTATTAGTATTATTACCACTAGCAACTTTGTCCTAGAGTATTTTCAGTTTCACAAATCGATAATGAACAATGGAAAAAAAAAAAAAAAGGAAAGACTCCAAAATAAACATATTTTAAGTATTTCAAATTCTAGATGTGGGATCCTTAAAATAATTAAGTGAATTTCTAAGGAAGGGTAAATTCCATCCCCTAAATGATAACTTCCCCTTTCATCCCAATATAATATATATTCTTCCCCAAGGGAGAACTGCTCTAAAATACAGAAGTCACAGTCAGCTCTGCCCCTTCCCCAGGGTTATGATATCCCCTGGCGCTTTTCATGATCCTCACCAACCACTGCCTCTCACACTGGGCTTCTTGGACCCACTGATATTTTGTGATCTGGCCAGTTAGTCTCTACTGGGAATACCAAGGAATGATGATGGTCTTCTTCTTTTTCACATACACGCAAATTAAGTCAAGGAATGACAGTTTCTTGATTCTAGGTGCTTCTTCCACTAATGTTTCTCAAGCATCTAGGGCTTGCTACTGCTTGTCCACTGTAAGCAATGGTACACAATCCAGTTCATAATTGGTAACAATAAATGCTGACAGAATGATTGGGAGGCAGTCAGCTAAGTTTTGTTAAATCGACTTTGTGTGCAGAAGCATGCTTGCGGCTTGATTTTCTATTGCACATTTTGGAATGAGTCGTTTCTTTTTCTAATAACATTGTTCTTAGGTAAGGAATTAAACATCTCACTGTTTCACAGTATCCTGAAGGGCACAAAAAATGTCAGGATGTCCAGATGTAAGGATTACATTTTTACTACAGGTCTGGAGCCTTTGCCACTTAATCAGAAGTCTAAATCTTCTGACTTAAGAGATTTACTTGGGGATCTGTAGGGAAAGATCATCTACCAGGGTGAATGTAAGGCAGTGACTGTAAAAGCTCTTCATAAGTATGGTGCATGCTTGACCTGAGATATAAAGGTTTATGTTTTCCCTGTTTGTTGAATGTGGGTCCAGAGCACAGTCTTTACAAACCATTCTGTTGGTCCCAGGTATGTCGACGTGGTGCTGAGCACCGTGGGAAATGCGTGCTGGTGCTGCCGCAGGTGTGTCCATCAGGCTGCAGCGTGAGTGTCAAAGGCTGTGACTAACACTTGCAGCATTGAGTCTCCTCAGTCTCCCTCTAATCAAGGTCAAGTGTTTGCCCGAGAACAGGCCCCAGGGCAGCTATTCTCTTGCAGAGCCCAGTCGCCAGAGCAGAAGTTGCACCCCAGATTCAGCCTCTCAGTGCTGTGCTAAGGGGCTGCTGGTGCTGATGTTAGGGCAATCAGCTTACCAAGAGGAGACGGTGTATGTGGCTGAGCTGTTGTCAGTGTCAAGGATGTTCTGGTCTGGACCCTTCCAAGTGATGGTGGGCTTTGGCCGCCCACAGACTTTGCACTGCAGTACCACTGTGTCCCCAAGCAAGCAGGTGACATCCACCAAGGGCACAAGGAATTCTGGGGCCACTATGATCAAATCAACATATATTCATATCATTCAGAGCAAACTTAGAATAAAACAGCCATTTTTTTTTAACACACCATTCTCATTTCCCACCCGTGTCACATAATGATTCAAATAACCTTCAGCATAACACTGCAGAGTCATCTTCAAAAGTGTTTAAAAGTAATAACTATTTATTGTGGAAAAAAAGGAAATATAAACAGAAGGAAAGAAAAGCTCCATAATGTCATAATCCAGAGATAATTACTGTGAGCATTCTGGTGTATACCCTTTTGGGCTTTATATAAACAGACTTCTTATAAAAATTGGATCCCATTATACATATTGCAAGCTTTAGTCTTTTCATCTAATAGTTTATCATAAACCTCTTTCCTCATCCATTGATACAGAACTATATCACCATTGCTTACAGCCAGTGCTTTAACGCTGGATTAACTATAGTTTATTTAACCAATCTCCGTTTCCAATTGTAATGCTTTTTAACTCACCTTCTTGGATGAAATTTGGATTTAAGATCTGAAAAGCAAAAAGAAACAGAAAATTGCTTGAATCCTAAACTACTAAAAGAGAACAAGGGACTTCACCCTATTGAATAAAAACAAAGTACAATTTAGGGAGATGAGGCCTGGAGCCCAACTTCCCATTGTGTTGTGACTGTATTACTGTCACATTAGTAAAACCTCCCTTTAGCGACAATTGGCACTTGGTTTACTCCATCTAATCCAGTTGTTCACATTCCTGCCTGGCAGCGTGCAGCTCCAGGCAGGTTTATTGTAACTTGGAGCTCTGCTAGCAGAGGTCTTTCTGTCCTCCCTGTTCTCAGTTGCTTTTCTTCCCTTCACAGGCAGAAAACCCACTCTGCTGGTCATTATGCACTCAAGCAATGCGGTGGCACTGATTCTTCCTACCATCATAAACTCAAAAATAGAGAACCTGAGACCTATCAAACTGGAAGGGTCACTGAAATTCACTAACACAGTGGATTCCTTCCAAATGTCCTCCCTTTACCCTTCGCCCATCCCCAGGCAGGGGAAACGACTCTTCAGGCAGCTGAACGCAGAGTTTCTCTGGATGAAGGGGAGTAAGAGAAGCCCTGTCTATCTCTTCTTTCTCAAGCATGATCTCCTATAGCCCAGGCCTGCATGGGGCAACTTGAAGCCACTGACCCAATCATTCTAACCCTTTCTGCTTCATAGGTGAGAAAACGAATACTAAGTGACTAAGCTGACAATCTCTGGTCACAAGGCTGGTTCAAGGGAGGAACTGCTGGGGCTCTTGGTATATACCATGCTGCCTGCCTCAGGACACTTTGGAGAGTTCACAGTAGGGAAAACATTTTAGCCAACTAGCCATTCTGGAAAGCTACCTCTTCTTGAGAAGATGGTCACTTTCCCCCACATCTTTTGTATTGCCGCTAATCATGCAAGTCCAGATTGTACAGCCTGGCATTGTTTAAAAAAAAGCACGGACTTCAGAGACAGGCTGAGGCCACCTGTTTTGTTTAATGTGATTGTATGTTAATTACATAAGAACTGATGCTCCACTATAATATGGGGATAAATAATATCTAGCGTAAAGTGTTATCACAAAGATTAAATGAAATCATGTATGTCAAGAGCTTAGCACAACGCCTGGCAAATGACATGTACTCAATACCTATTTTAAAAAGATGATCTCATTTTAATAATCTTCCTTCAGCTAAGCAGCCTGTTATTAAAGTGGCTTATCTTTAATAGTTTATTTGGCAAAATTCTTCTTTCCTTTATCATGAAGCCAGAAAACTCACATGCCTTACAAAATAGCCCAACTGCGGCCTTTGCACTTACTTCCCTGTATGTATGCATATCTTTGTGAATATGCATGGTTTCTGTGTGTCTTCCCCTATAGAGGAATCCATATAAACCCTTTGGAAGAAAGACATTTATATCCCTCTTTGCGTTCCCCTTTGCAAATCAAGTGCCCGCTTATACCACCCAGGTTTTGCACAAAGTAGGCTGCAGAAAATCCTTGTGATGCCAAAATCTGGGCTGAGTGCCCCAACTCTGGCCACTGCAGTGCCCTCTGCTAGTCTCAAAAGACCACTTACACCTCTGCTTAGCCTGTCTTTAAATCAGTGGTTCTCAACGCCTGACCTGGGCAGCCTTAAAAACACAAGAGGCTAATGCCTGGGCCTCATGCCTAGAGATTCTGTTTAATTGGTGTGAAGTGGGGCCTGGGCATTGGGATTTTTTTTAACTCTCTAAAGTGAATTAACATGCAGCCTTGTTTGATGAACCTGATGATAGTCCCCCTGTATCGCAGTGAACTGATCTTGGTAAACCAACTTCCTGCCCCGGAGGCTTTTCTGGGGAGGGGTAGGGGAGTGGATGAGAACATCTGGTAGAACCTACTGCATCTCCCACACCTAAAAGAGTCCTCTGTGTGAAAATGTTTCGAGGCATGGCATGGGGAACGATGTACAGGGTTGCTCCACTCAAACTAGTAAATCAACCACGAGCAGCACTGCATCACCTGTAGGGGGCGCTAAAGAGGCCAAACATTTCTCTCCCTGGTTTGGATAAGGCGGGGAGAATGGCATCCCAGTCAGTCATTTGACAGTCAAAGAAAAGAAGGCTAGGAATATTTTCTAAATGTTAACAGTGGTTATCTCAGGGTGGTAGGTTTAAGGGTGGCTTTCTCCTCATTCAAAAAACATTAACTGAATTCATCTTCTACTCTAAGATCTGTGTACAGTTTTGTGGATAAAGAAATACTAAGACATAGGCTCTGCCCTTGGGATTTATAAAACATCTTAATTTGGGGTGACTATTGCTTCCTTTCTTTTCTTATGTGGGTTTCCCAAATATTCTGCGTCAGCATGTTTCACTTTATTTTATTTTATTTATTTTTTTGAGACGGAGTTTCACTCTTTTTGCCCAGGCTAGAGTGCAATGGTGCGATCTCAACTCACTGCAACTTCTGCCTCCTGGGTGCAAGTGATTCTCCTGCCTCAGTCTCCTGAGTAGCTGGGATTACAGGCATGCACCACCATGCCCGGCTAATTCTGTATTTTTAGTAGAGATGGGGTTTTGCCACATTGGTCAGGCTGGTCTCGAACTCCTGACCTCAGGTGATCCGCCTGCCTCGGCCCCCCAAAGTGCTGAGATTACAGGCATGATCCACCGTGCCTGGCTTCACATTCTTAAGAATTATTTTTGAAGGGAAAAAATGGCACAGTCAGACCTATTAGTCTATAAGCTCTTTAAAGACAGGAACCATTTGTCATTCACCTTTGTACCTCAGGGCCCTAGCCCAGGGTCTGTCACATAATGCGTATTTAATAAATGCTGGTGAATACATATTTGACCTTTGACTTCATTTCACACCTTCCAAGAACTTAGGTCTGGTTCATAAATAGAATCTCAGAATAGGACCAAGAGGACCAATGTTATTAGTCATACACTCAAAATACTTAGTTCTGGGCATATGACTAATAATACTTGACTAGAGCCTGTTGGGAAACACAGATGGATGCAAACTTTTACAAAATGATTTAAAAATAACATAATCCATAGCTTCTGAGAGAGGACGTTCTTAGTAGCACGCTGCGCAGAAGAGTGTAAGCTTGGGGAGCAGACAGAGCATGTAGTATCCAGACTCAAGGCCAGACACTCTCTCTTGCCTTGGACAACGTTCTTAAGCAACTCCTGTCTCAGTTTTAGCTATACATTGGGGATAAAAATGCCCATCTGGAAGGGTTATTTGATGTAAGGACTCAATTTATTTGAGGAAGAGGTACTGAGTTGACCCTTGGTGAGGTGGTAGTGACCGGGCAGGGAGTAAGGCCGGCATGCTCTCTATCCTCAGTGGGCCAACAGTCTAGTGGGAAAGATGGAATTCAACAACATCTGCATTTGATGCAGTGTCTGACAGATGTTAATGACCAGCTTTCAACAAACATGGAACGTTACACTGTCCCCCATGCTGCCTGCCCCTACTCCATCAGAAGGACTCTAGGGTGGAAATGATTTGATAATACTGCTAACTTTGTTCAGTGGCCTGTGTTTCCCATCATGATGGGAATCCACAAGGAAGCAGGGCATGGAGTCCATGCCAGGGGTCTCACAGAGAAGAAAGCTGACAAAATGGAAGAGACAAGTAGCAGGCTTATATGCTATACAATTTTAAGTAGGGTTTCATAAACCTACAGTGTGGTACTTATAAAACCTACACTTTTATAAGAAAATGCCCCAAAGTGCTGCTTAAAGAACTTCTTGCCTTATTCTTTTTCATCACAGAACCCTAACCATGCTAAGTATATTACTAAACAGACACACTGTTTAAAAAAGCAAATATTGTCTGGGTGCAGTGGCTCACACCTGTAATCCTAGCACTTTGGGAGGCTGAGGTGGGTGGATCACTTAAGGTCAAGAGTTCAAGACCAGCCTGATCAACATGGCGAAACCCCGTTTTGACTAAAAATACAAAAATTAGCCAGGTGTGGTGGCAGGTGTCTGTAATCTCAGCTACTAGGGAGACTGAGGCACAAGAATCACTTGAACCTGGAAGGCAGAGGTTGCAGTGAGCCAAGATCATGCCACTGCGCTCCAGCCTGGGTGACAGAGTGAGATCCTCTCTCAAAATAAAATAAATACAATGCAAATATTGGCCAGGTGCAGTGGCTCATGCCTGTAATCCTAGAACTTTGAGAGGTCAAGGTGGGAGGACTGCTTGAGACCAGGAGTTCGAGACCAGCCTGAGCAACATGGTGTCACTACAAAAATTTTTTAAAATTAGCTGGGCATAGTCCTAGCTACTTTAGAGACTGAGGTGGGATGATCACTTGAAACCAGGAGGTTGAGGCTGCAGTGAGCCATGATTACACCACTGCACTCCAGTCTGGGCAACAGAGGGAAACCTTGTTCCCAAAAAAAAAAAATCCTTTTTTGAGACAGCATCTCGTTCTGTCACCCAGACTGTAGTGCAGTGGCATGATCTCAGCTCACTGCAACCTCTGCCTCCTGGGTTCAAGTCATTCTCGTGCCTCAGACTCCTGAGTAGTTGGGATTACAGGCACATGCCACCATACCCGGCCAATTTTTTGTATTTTTAGTAGAGACGGGGTTTCACCATGTTGGCCAGGCTGGTCTCAAACTCCTGACCTCAAGTAATCCGCCCGCCTTGGCCTCCCAGAGTGCTGGGATTACTGGTGTGAGCCACCGTGTCCAAACAAAAGCAAATATTCCTAATTTGAGGGTAGTCCTTAGCAGAGACATTGGAGAGAAAGATTGCCAATAAGTCTTAATTACAGGTTCTCCATCTGGAAGGGACTCATGAAAGTCTTTGGTCTTCATTCTTCTGCCTTTTGGCTGGCCCAGGTGAGGAGAGCCCACCTTGACAAAAGGTGTGGCTGATAATGGTAATAGCATCACTGATTTGGGTAGCATTATGTGGTTCCCATAAGCTACTCACAAACTCCTTCATGTGCTCCTCCAAAACCCTGGAGGAAGTGCAGAGCAAATGTTATTCATCACCAT